TTGATGTGTCTGTCAGACAGTACAGAAGGAGTAACAAATGCACCAAACTGTGATGTACTGTGATGGGTATCAGTTTGTTCAGAGCTCTGTTAAAAGGGGGGACTTTCCTGAAACCTCAGACCTTCCAAAGTTATTTTGTTTGTATTCTCTCTTAGTGGGAGGAGAAGAGAGCCAGAATGAAACTGCAATTTGAAAGGGATTTTGAAAGCTTTAACATCCACTTTCTGACTCCAGGCAATACAGAAAGAATGCAAGCAAATTTTTAGCATCTTTGGAGAAGGGCTAGTGTTTCGAAGTCTTATGAGGTGTTTGTATGTTTTAATAATTAAATAGCCTTTAATACCTGGTTTCAGGAGAGGTTGCAATGGATAAAAGGATTATTCTTCACATTTTTTAATGAGGACGGATGCTCAAGACAGGGGTGAGGGCTAAGAAGGTGCAGTGTATGTCCTGTTGTCACGTGCCAGGAGGGAGCATGCAGCATCACGCAGCTTGCCCTCGCAGTTCATTCGGCTGCCACAGCCAGCAGTGAGCTTGGCTCTGGTCTTTTCTCTGCCATTACTCCCTGCCTTGCCATGAAATCTGTTTGCCTTACATCTGAGCTTTTTTTTTTTATGACAGAGGGCACTACACAAAGTGTTTTGGAGATTCTTACAGGCTGAGTAATATACAGTTTTACTAATAGGAGAACTGGGACATGCTTAAACCGAGGTTACAAAAAAAGGCTGTGATGATCAGGAAACTGCTTGGTCCTTTAACACACCTCTGAGCTTAGGCATCCATCCTTCCATGCTGAATGCAACACCCATGTTTAAAGCTGCCTTACAGACATGCCACCGGGTGAATAGGAAGCCCACTGATCTCTCAGCAACTCACTAAGCCCACTGCTGCAATGAAATATCACACTGACATGCCTTGAAATATCAGGAATCATGGGATAGTAAAAATCAACCAAAGCAAACATCACACAAAAAGTGGAACAAAGCCTGTTGCGTGGTGCATGTTGCCATTGATGGTTTTTGTAATTGATCCTTTTGTATGCTAACACCCAACTGGAAATGAGGGTTTGCTGTATAAAGGAAGAGGGAGGCTAGAAAGGGGGGAGTTCCTCTTGTTAAATATTTGCCTTACAGGTCCTAGGTTAGAGGGCAGTTATGGTTCATGCCCAGTTCAAGTTCCCAGAAAGACTACTGATAGCTCAGCCCTGACACAAGGAACCATGTTGTGCCTGTTGTAGCATTTGTGTAAGCATGGATACAGCAGTGTCTCTCTCTAATTTTAACAAAGCCCCATTGAGATACATAACATGAATACTTCTGTGGTTTACCAGTAGTTGATGTGGTTCAAGATGGGTTGGAAAGTCTTTGAAAAGGCCAGGGAAATCCAGCCATGGAAAATGTGATAACAGTACAATGTGCATATTCTCAAGCCACTTCACCTCACAAGTTCAAAGACACTGTAAATAAGAGAATCTCTTGTTTCATGGAAAATTGGAGAGAAGTGCATTAAAGTTTTACAGAATGTGAGCTTATATACAAGGACTTTAAATCAGCAGAAGTATTCTTATTTCTTAAGATTCTGAGGAAAGGCCATGCAGCTTTTACATAGTGATAGATGTAATAGCCACTGTGTGGTGCTGGTTCTAGTTCACACACTTGACTCACTCTCTTTCTGGGTCTCTGCAAGGCTGGATGTGGCTGTTGCTCTGTGAATAGGGAAATTGGAAAGGAGATGCAGAGAGTGACCCTCATTCTAGGAAAGGGAGCAGACAGCTCTGTTGCCAGTGCTATCTGAAAATAAAGCAAAGAGAGGAAGAGCAGTTCCAGCTTTGTTTCCACTGCTTCGCCGTTATTCTCTTTTTGCTTGATGTGTCTTTTAATGAAGCCTGTAATACCCAGCAAATCCAGAAAGAGCATTTAGAGGTTGTTTATAGCTCTTATGTGAGGTGATCAGTGGGATGGACAGTCCCTTCATGGGCAGCTCAACCAAGGCTCTTAAGGCAGTGCTGGACGTTCACTGTGGTAAGCAATTCGTTTTCCTTATGTAGCACATTGGCATGTGGGACAATGACTTAATAACAGTGTTGAGTGAAGAAATGCACAACAGTATAAAATATTTCAGCAACTGATAGATAAATGGCATGCCTGGTTTTGCCTGCCAGTCTGTCTGCAGTGGTGTGCGGCTGTGGATTACAGTCTAACAGAATACTTGTCCTGCCCTGCCAGTGGGCACAGAACTGCTAGGTATGAAGTAGTGAACAAATCCTTCATTGTTGTCACTTTCTGTAACTTAAAGGCGAGACATTTTCATCCCTGGGTGTCTCTGGTCTACAGCGGTGTATTTCAGGCAACTCTTTCATGCAGTTCCAGGTTTCTCCTTCACTCAGGAGAAGCAGGGCAAAGGAGGGTAACAAGGTCACCAGCAAAGGCACACCTGCCTGCCTGATGAACTGCAGCCAAAATCAAGCCAAGTCTTGAGGCCCAGTCTCCTGGAATGGAGACGTGTCCTGTAGCAGACAGGCTGAGTACGGCGTGCCTGAGATACTGCCAGGGAGAAGGAAGGAAGGCTGCTCTGTCCAATAATTTTTTTTCTTTCATTTTTTTGTTTTGCTGCCTAGTTGGCAGAGTTGCTGGAATGTAATTTAAATAACTGAAACTCCAGCTGTTGCAATGAAATTCTTTGAATTATGTGCCCAAAAAGAAAAAGATGGTATCTTGAGTTCAGATCAAGTGCTCTGGTATACTGAAATCACATAAGTACATGTAAATTAAACACTTGCTTTTAATACTCTCCATTGTTTTCTCCTCATTCAGCCTTTCTTCGAGGCTGTTTCCAGATCAGAGCTGAAACTCCTGTAGCAGCAACTGTTTCCTGTATATTTTCAGCCTGATCATTGTCAGTGTGGATTTAGATCTAAAGACTGTGTTTCAAGCACATTATAAAGCTGTTAGGGAAGCTTGTACTGTTGTAACATGTATGTCAGAACTTGAGTATGCATTTGTCAGGAAAGGTGCTCTGATGTGGTAGTAACTGCAGTTGTTGGTGCATAGATTGATTTTTCAGGGTATCAATTTTGCAAATAGTGTCCCAATGTTCTTTGTCGTCACTGCAGAAACTGGTAACATTGCCTGTAGCTAGCATGGGGTGATGTGGTATCTGCTGCAGCAAACTATCTGACTCTGCCAGTGTCCTGGCTTATTGTAGATTGTATGAAAGTCAGTCAAACCATCTTCTCTAACAGAGCTGGAGAAGAATCATGTTATAACATGACCCCAGGACATAGTTAACCAACTTGTGTGTGTGAGGATTTAGCAAGGCTCTAAACAACTCTTTGAATTCTGAAGAGTTGACCTTCAGTCAAGTTGGCACCTGCAGTGCTGAATCAGAACAGCTAATGGTAGCCATGTCTTCTGGAAACAGCATCATATTCTGGGCTTTCTGGAAGAGGAGGATGAGGATGGAACTATTGCTGGATGTGAATGCTGAAATTATTGCTATTGATGCAGAAATATTCAACTAACATCTGTGTTTAGTATTTTAAATGCATAAGATAGTATATATGTATCACATGAGAATGATGAAGTATTTTCCAATCCTTTAGTAACTATGATAGATGTTAAGTAAATTCTGCTAGAGATAAATTCACCAAGCTTGCAAGACTGTACCCAGCAAGAATGTGAGAGCCCTAGTGTTACTCCTCTATTAGAAGTGCACAAGTCTGATTGCTCCAGTTACTTTACACTGGTTAGTCTCACGGCAGTGACACACAAAATAATGGCAGCTGTTAATTCTTAAAAGCTAGGAATGTGCTTCATGCCAGGCAACGTGGACTGTGGAAAGAAAAAAAGATTTGTCACATGTTTTTGATGAAAATACGCTTGGTTAATAAGGTAACATTTGCCCCATTCCCTTTATTTTAAACAGGAGTCCAATGAAGTATCAGCACTTCACGGACTGGTGGATTAAACAACTGTCTGACTAAAATTACCATGAGGGGTGTAGTGGCATTGAGTGAAAAATGTCATTTGTTTCTATTGGGGTTGTACGAAGATCTGTGCCTAGCACAGTTTAGTATTTTCACCAATTTTCTCCACCAAGTGATTGGAGTAAGAAGTGAATGGGACACTAAAAAGATCCCTTAATAGCTAATTACAGTGCTGCAGCACTAATCTTAGTAGACCGTAAAATGCGGTTTCTTGAAGATAAAAATAGCTTGTGGGGCAAGCCAAGATGCCAAATTAAAAGACAATTAAGTTTCCTGAAGTTTATTCATCATTATTGTACAGAATAGTACAAAGAGCTTTAGAGACTCTCAAAGGGCATCTCTGGAGAGTGGCTTTAGTTGTGGGTTGGAAATTGGGCAGTAACTTCTGGAAATGAAGATACAATGGGATTCTTTAGAGGGAAACTTAACAGGAACAGTCTATAGGATCTGTTGCATTTTCCACAAGCACATACTGTTCAAAAATCTGTGACTCAGAATGTCATGAAAGAAATGAACAGTGTTGTAAAATTGCAGCACCAAACTGATAGACAAGTAACAGAGCTTTTTTATGGTTTTATTAATACTAGGCTATGTGCATATGTGGATATTTCACAGTCTCTTAGGAGAATTGAGGATAATTACTTGTTGGTCCTAATCCAGTTCTAAGAATCTTTGTTTTGTTAATTTCCTGTAGACACCACTGTAGAGGTAGTGTAGGTAATATCACCAAAGTGTCAATAAATTAATTAATAAAGAAAGAGTCACTGTAGTTCCCTTATGGAGATTTCTGAAGTTTTAGTTTTTAACATAAAAGTTAGTGTGTTTCAGAGTATAAGAGTATAATTTAATTGCCAGGGGAATAATTTATACATTAAAAATGACACTAGAGAAACAAACAAAATTTAACCCCATTTTTAGTCAACACTCTAGATCAGAATCTCACTTAACCACAGCATGTGTCAGCAGTGCATGAGATGTCAGCTGATAACCATCTTTTTAATCTGTTGTGTTTCAGGGCCAGTTCTGTGATTTCTGCAATGCTGCTGATCCCAGTAAAGCTCACCCAGTAACCAATGCAATTGATGGCACAGAGCGCTGGTGGCAAAGTCCTCCTCTTTCTATGGGCTTGAAGTACAATGAAGTCAATGTCACATTAGACCTGGGACAGGTGAGTCCATGAGCTATTGAGTGAGGTTTGATAATTTCTTGCATTTGTACATGAGCTTTGCAATTGAGAGAGACTTTTGAACTGATGATTTTAACTTCCAACACCACAGATTTTTTTTGTCCAGTTTGTGTTCTGAATTTTTTTACCATGTTAACTATACTAAAGTGTTTATTTTTTTTAGGAGTTTTGATGATGGGCGTTCTTGCCACTGGCATCACACAAATGTAATGATGATGTGCTTTCTTGCACAAACACTGTAACTTGTTAACCTGAGCTTACACATGAGGACCTCTTAGTTGACACTGGGGCTCTGCCTTCCATTTAATAGTCTCCTTTTGCATGGGTGCAGAGACCAACTTCATGATCTCTGTACATGCACACATTGTGAGAATAATGTTTGGAGTCTGCTTTTGCCTCGGGGGTACTTCTGCTTTCTCTGTCATCCAGCAAGATCTTCAAGACAGACAGAAAAATACCGATAACATGGTCTGAAAGAGAAGGGACAGCAAAACCAGTGTAATATGAATTAGTAATGTGACAGTAACATGAACACCCATATTTCCTCTGCAAGCGATAGGCAAGTAGCTAAGAGTGAAGTCTCTCTATCTGTATTTTAAGTCATAGGGACAGATTCCCAGCTGCCATAATTCGGCGCTGATCCAATGGAATTGGTTACGCTGTGCAAGTTCACACCAGCTGAAAATATATGACTATAAATATATGTCTGGGGCTGCAAAATAGGTGTATACACATGCATATGTATTTTGGATAGTAATAATTGTTTATTGACTGATTATATAGGGCAGGATTTTTTTAAATAGGTGTTCAATTTAGTTGCCAGCAAGGGGAGGGGTAACTAAGAAAATGTTTCTCTGTGAGATTTAGCTGCCATTTTGTTGGGGATTCAGGTGCAACTTATTTTACATCTTCTGTTACATGGTGTTGTAATGCTCCTGCCCCTCACATGACAGGAATGGTTCTCACTTTGAGGATATCTTCATTCAGTGTTTTTGTATCTGGTATAGTTGCAGTGCAGAAAGGCCAGACAACTTAAGATAGAGAGTATCAGTAGTTAAACTGATGTGGTTTTTGAATTTGCACTTCTATTAATTGCATTTTTAACATGCCCGTTTTCTTGATTGCTTTTCTGTACTGTGCTGTGAAAGAAGAGACAGCTATGCAGAAGCTGATGAATTTTGAGACTATGGCATCCATGTTAGCGCACAGTGGTTGGACCTGTCTCTGAGTTGTGTTGCTCTTCTATTACACCATACAGTTGAGGAGTGTTGCATCCCCTGATGCTTTGTGCTCCTGTGAAGTGAGTTGGTCTCTCTTTTCCAGCAAACTGCGGAGAAGTATGTCTTTCAGGCTGGGCATACAGAGTGAGGACACTGAATGCAGAGCAGGGTGCTATAAGTAGGCATGACAAGGCGATCACTTCCCAGTAAGGCAGACCTTGTCTTTTGAGCTTCTTGCATCCATCAGAGTCTCTGCAAGACTCAGGATTAGGCTGCAGGCTGTAATTTTGTCTTGTGTTGTAACCCAGCGTATTTGTGACCAACACTTGTGCGTCATCATCATCCACATGTGTAGCACATTGCTCCATCCAAAACTTCTATTCCCACAATGCACTTGTTAGCTTCTTTGGAGGACCTACCGACAGACACCTGAATTTGTATGTGCTGAGTAAACTCCTGAGAGACCTCCTTCCTTCAGAGGAAGGGTATGAACTGAGTGCCCTTTTCTCATGGGACTCCTTGGAGACCAATTGCTATATATTAAGATTCTTGTAGTTACTCAAGTATTTCTCAGGGGGAGGCTGTGTGTTTCTAATTACTCTGGTACCATTCAGAAAGGTGACTCTGAACTCCTTTACTTGGGAACAAGGGAAACCCAAGATGAAGGTGAAAATGTCTTCAGGAAGTCCATCCACTTTAGCTGATGGATGGATGAAGGATTAGTAGGATTCATCTGCTGTTGGGGTTTTTTCCCACTTCATGGATATTATCTTATGTATATGTTCAGTCAGCTGAACCTTAACCTCAGGATTTGTTTGAATTTGAGATTCACTTTTGACATTTTGCTTAGTATTCTCACACCACACATTCATACAGTAGCACACAGTATTAATAATGAAGAAGAACATTAAATACTGTGGCAGAGTAAGTCTACTCTACTTGAGCAAACAGGAAAGCACTGAGACCCCAATTCACTTTACCTTATTTCAGGATCCTAAAAATTAAGAGCTTGGCTTGCATTAGTCATGCAGGTTTTCTTAGCAGTTGACAGTGAAATTTTCAGTGTTCAGCTCCCCCTTAAGTGAGCTGAATGAAGGTTTTGGTTTTTAAGGAAAAACAAATGTTTTTAAAGTTAGCTGTATGTCTAAATATCTTCCAGAAGCACAGGCTGTAATACTGAAAAGATAGCAAGGATGTAATTTTCCGTGCTGAACAGTTGTCCTGTTCTTTATTTTGACACACCTTTTTCTGCAAACAAAATATGGGAATGTGTTTGCATGTGCAGAACATGACATAGAGTAAGGTACATATGCGTGCAGGGAAGCAATGACTGACTGTAAGCTGGCCATCAAAGATCCACAGTTAGAGGAAGCAGAACTTAGTGCAAAGTCAAAAGCTTTCCATGCACTGCGTTCCTGCCATTCTATCTTTATGACTGAGAGCAGAGTCCCAGTGGAGCCCTTTGCCATGATCTCATGACAATATTTAATTGAATAATTGCACCATGGTGGAAGTTTTAGCAGTCACTACCATGGAGCTGGAACTGAACACCCACCTAGTGCTGCTTCTGTTTCACAAGGGCTAGGGGTGATATTGAAAGTTGAAATCCCTTCAGGATGTTAAATCTTTCTTCTAGAAGAATGCTCATTTTGCTGTACTTTGTAATATGAGAAAAAGCAAGAACCTTAAAGCAAAAGCCCTGCTTTACTTCCCTTTCTGACTTTCTGTACTGTAGTTACATTTCTAATCAATCACAGCCCTTCTGAATAATAATTATAATGTTGATCCCTGAGGCAGTCTCTCTATTCTGTTGACATACCTGCTTACACTGTGGCTATTCCTGACTTGTTTAAAATATTTGGATCAAATGAAGTCTCAGTTATTCCTTTAATTGCTCATGTTTTTCCCAATGTAGTTTTCACCATAATTTAAACTTCTGAATCCTGAATGTCTGACTGAAGTTCATCACCCTTCCCCTGACTTTTTAGATTGCCTAATTTAGGCAGGTGTTGCCCCCATCTTTGGCTTGGTTAATGCTCTGTAGATATTACAGTAAGACTCCCTCAGGTATTTTTCTGAACTTTGTCTTCAGAAGAAGATGAAGGTTCAGGATAGCATGATGCTGTATGATGAAAAAGAAATGTCTAACTATCGCACTTCAAAAAGTGTAGCCCACAGATTTTATTGTTGCTTTCAGTTATGTGGAATTTTTTAAACTATGCTTTTGTAGCAATAATATGTGCTGAAAGACTCAGGCTCAGTGAAATCTTGTGCACCATGCTGAATAATTTTTATGTAATGATATTATTAGTCACTGTTGTAAATTATAGGCACACGGTGGAATGTAATGTCCAAATTAGTACTTTTATTAGGGAGCGAGGGAAACTCAAACATAAATTCAAGATAAGTGGTGTGGCCTGTGGAGGAGTTCATGATTTTGTGTTTGCTGCCAGTTGTAGCATATAAACACTTTGCAAAAAGGCCTCTCAGTTTGGCAACTCTTCTGAGTTACTTTTATATAGTAGGAGTTTAATTTTTATATTTTGTAGCAGTCCTTTATGTCCACAGGTTTGCAAACAATATTTGTTACTGTTACTATAATTAGCTTTAGCTAATTGTTGTCATTAAAAACAATTGTTCTTAACTTTAAATGCCTCTGAAGTTAGAGTTAATTTGACTATCATTCTGTAAAATATAAAGTGTCCTGTAGGCCCTTCTCCTGTAGGGGAGAAACTGTCAAGGTGGTGGGAGCTTTATCATAAGCTACATTGAACTGGGCTTCCAAAAGTGGCCATTGCACTCATTGTCTTTAGCTATTAAAGATTTTCATAGTATCACTGATCCCGAAATTAGACACAGCTCTAGTGTGAAATTGTATAACCTCTATAACAAACCTGAGAAGTCCTACAGGTTAGGGCATAATAACCACTATGTGAAGCTTCTGCAGTCCCACAGAACTGTCCCAGCAGTGAGCCAAAGCCTTTCCTCTGGAACCCCTGCATAGCTCTGCATCCACAGCAGCACTGAGCCCTGCTCTGCTGTTCTGGTTCACTCTGGGGAGAACAGGGGCTTTTAAGTCTGGGGAAGGTACTGTATTGTCCCTGCAGTACCCAAAAATGGAGATGCTAATAGCACAGAAGCGTTACTTCATATTAGAGAACTCTCGTTCTGAGTATTTGAGTTTCTGCAGGCAGCTGATTTGGGATTATGCCACAAAACAGTTTACTTTGAAGTTAGTTGTGATTTTGGCTAATACCATGGTAAGATGAATCTAGTTGTGAACTCTAGATTAGCACAACCTGAGCTGATCGACTGAGCTGGCTGACTGAAGTTTCTAAAACTTGTATCAGGTAATATGCTTTCCATTTATTCTTCAGTCACGCTACAAGCAGCTCACTCTGAGCTGAGCTACCCACCTTAATCAGGGCAATACCCTAAGTGCATCATTTCTTGCTTATATGTTATCCTTTAAGATGCAGTCAATGTGTTATGTTTTCATAAAGCTTTAATTAAAGACCTCTTGAATGGTTCAGCCATTTTTCCTGATGCTTGTGTTAACAAATGTGTGTCATTGGTTTTAAAATGTGGTTTTGATACTAATTTGGTATATTCTCAAAATATACAGAAAATCCCTTGCAAGTCTTTCTCTCCTTTGCTTTCCTGACACTGTCTTCTTATGGTTCTTCCTCAGCATCCCTTTAGGAAGCTCTTTGTTTCCACTCATTGATCTCACTTCCCTCCATGTCTGTACTTCTGATTCTC